AGATGTTTGCATTTTTTGCTCCATTTTCATTTTGAGGAGAGTCTCCACGAAGTGATTCACAACGTGCCACACACACCTTGATGCTCCGAGAAGTTGATGTTCACTTATTTATTTTCTTTTTGACATTTTAAGATTTCTGTTTCGATACCTGAGGAAAACAAAAACACTGAGGACAGTCTTGTTAGCGACACAGATTTTTAATCTGATCATTCGTTTCTGCCTCACTCTGAACTTGGACGTTTTCTTAACTTTTTTTTTTCTTCCCAAATACCTCATTCTCTCATGATTTGTCTTTACACCGTGTCGCTGCTGTTGTCTGTCATTTCTAGGTCATGAGAGAGAAAACAGACTCAGGCACTTTTCGATGTGTTCCTGTAGAAAAAGGTGTGTAAACACTCCGCGCTCAGTCAGGAAGTAAACATAACACAGCTTTCGTAGCCTAGTTTCCATAACTTTGATGTTTGCGAGATAGCATTAATATTCTTGAGGAAGAGCAGAGTCGGTTCCCTTAAACTAGGAGCTTAGAGCAGAAGAAGTTCAGCAGAAGGTTTTACAAACGATTCTCAGTTGTTTGTCGCCCCTTTCTGGTAGAGACGCCTTAGCAATGTACTATAACGGGGTGTCAAACATACGGCCCGTGGGTCAAAACCGGCCCATTTCATGGATTTAAAAAATAAAATAAAAATACACAAACACTTCATGTTCAGGGTATTGTTTTTGTCAAATTGTTTTTTAATGTAAATAATAATAATAGCTATCTCACATACTTGTACTTACTTGCATGAAAACAAAGCTTACTTATTGGTATTTATAGTTAATTAGGTTATGACTGATACTGTTATAATAACCTACTGCACTGGTCCGGCCCGTTTGACATCTATTTAGGTTGTATGCGGCCCGTCAAACTAATTGAGTTTAGTCCACACAAGTAAAGGCCTCCACACATGAGACAGATATTTGATGGAGGCAAAATCAATAGACGTGATTTAAACATTCTTGAACAGTTTTTTAAATTATTAAATAATTCAAGTGGCCTTATTTGTTGTACCTTTTCAGTGTCTTTACAGTCAGACCAGTGACTGGCTGAGAACTAATCGAGCAGCAAATCATATACAGCATTGTTGCACAAGGACTGGGTCGTGACCCTCAGGTGGGTCGCAAGAGATTTTCTGTTTTTTGGGTCGTCTCGCATCATGTTTCCCAGAGGTTTTGGAGAATACTGTCTATTGACTAGGGTCGCAAAGGTTTGTGACTTTAAACAAATATGGGTCCCCAGAGAAAAAAATGTTTGGCAAACACTGGTATAAAGTCAACACTAATCTCCAGTGTAGTCCAGAGCACTACTTTAAACAACTTCTGCCTCACATTTATGCATTTTACAGAACTCTGATACAACTTATATGATGACGATCGATTAGTTGGCTTTACTAGGGCTTGAAACCTGGACCTTCCACATGTAGATGTGCAGATGTGATAACCACTTCCCTATAGAACCTAAACAAATCTAAATTGGCAATTTATAATAAAAAACACAAATTGGGTAAAATACTACTTTAAAGAAAGCCTCCTAATATTGGACTACAGAAGCGGTCCCCGAACGTTTTGTAACAGGGACCGATCGACTGGTACCGATAATTGAAGAATCATTTAGGATCTGTAAATCTATCAGAATAAAACTTTTTTTTCTACTCTATTTTGTTAGTATTGTAGTTTTATTGTAGTTAGAAATAACTAATAAATTGTGAATTTTTTTACTAACAACCCAGTATCAAACGAACCATGTACCATAACTGGGCCACGGACCAGAAGTTGGGAACCCCTGCATAGGAGTACAGTACTGATATGTTATCTTTTTAAAATAGGTCCAACCTGACGATCCTGTAAACTTGTGGAAATCTTAGTTTTAACGCTGAAATGTTGATCTCTTGTTTGAAGTCGAACAACTTTGACCAGCGGCGGGCGCTCTTTTGATAAGATTTTGTTTTAACCTTGATTTAAGAACTGAGAAAAGAGACAAAGACGCAGGTTGTGACCTGGCGCTAAAGACATCATTATCCAGAATCCTACTGATGGAATTCTCTGATGGAAACACCACAGAAGAAGAGCTTAGCCTTAAGTAAAGGAAATCCCAAAGAAAAAGCTTTGTTGTTAAAACAATTATTTTTTTTCCCAGCAGCCTTAGCGTTTTTTCAACTTCCTTTCATAAAAATAGCCATTAGCTCCAAATTAAATTTGTCCAGGGGGGAATTAGACGCACAGTTCGCAGTGTTCTTCACTTCTCAACTGCGTTTTGTAATAAATTAAGTACTCGCTATATCTGCATGTGTTTGCCACTAGGGGTCTCTGTTTTGTGTCTCTTTCACAAATAAAGTCTTTTTTTCTTTCTTTCTTTCTTTTTCTGGGCTTCCAAATACAATCTTTTTTCCTCCTACGTCTCCCGGCGGAAGCTCCCCAAATAGCAGAGCCATACTTCAAACAGACACTAAGATCCTTTTGAAAATCATTGATGGAGTCCAGCTCGGGGGCTGCCCGGGCTAAGGAGGGAGAAAGGGAAGGGGGGGGGGAGTCAGACATGGAGGAGAAGAGGGAGGAGGAGGAAGGCGTATCAGTAGAGATAAATAAAAGCTAAAACACCCTGGGAATACATGCTCAACACTGCAGTGCAGCTTATGTTGATCCCACCGCCTCATTTGGAGGCAGATTCAGTGACTCTCACTGGCATTTCCATAATTCCTTCACAGACGGGAACTTCTTTTTTTCTCACTGCCAGAAAAGTTTAGAGAATGGCAGCAGCAGCAGCGACAGCAGCAACAGGCCCGGTCATGTCAATCAGAGACGTAATAAGACAAGTAGGAGGGTGATAATTTTCCCAGTTTGCCATGGCTTAGTCAGTCACATCTTGACTTTTTGTCAAGCATTTCTCTGCCTGGAATGTTCCCCGTGTCAAGCAGGCATTTGTTAAACGTAACCTTAACGTCGTTAGCTATTTGCGCTGCTCTGATGCCATGAGTCTGTTCAGAGAATGACCACATTCGTCTTGGTTAGGGTTCCTCTCTGATGCAGCTCCTCCAGTCCCAGACTTTCTCTGGCTCCACTGGCTTCTAATCCTGGAGTGGCTTCAGTGTGTCCTCACTGTGAGACACCATTCACTCAAAAACTCTGTCCCAGCAGCAGTGCAGCATCATATCCAGTTTTGTTGGTGAGCAGGGGTCACCAACAAAGTATAAATAATCTGGAACATACCATAGCAGACACTGTTCTTACCATCATCACCGTATTTTCCAGACTATAGGTCACACTTTTTCTTCATTCTTCGGCTGGGTTTGCGACTTATGTATTAAAATGTTTTTATTCGCACTAGAGGGCACTATAGCTGGCCGGAGCAACTTATAGCCTGGAAAATACTGTTGAATAATTATAATTTGAGAACATAGCCTAAGGGCACTTTTGGTAGTCCATGAGGGCTACCCAGTGACCCCGGGCACCACGTTGGTGACCCCTGACCTAGAGTTAAGAACACAGTATCTCCTACTGTGTTCTTAAACACAGCTTGCGTCTCCATCTCGTGGCCAAATATCCAAATTAGCATCTTCATAAACACAAACACATCCAGCAAGAAGTCGCAAAAGAAATGATCAAAGTTAAAAAAAGGCTACCCCTCTGCAAAGGCTACCCCTCTGCAAAAAAAGGTCATTGGGCCCTAGATGGGACCCGCCCCTTACTTTGGTAACCACTGCTGAGAGCCAATAGCGCAGAACGCCTCTTTACCATCCAGCATTAGGACACTAAAATTTACTTCAGTGGAATTTGTTTTTTTACTACAGTTTAGTGTTAGATTATAGAACCAGAACCAGGAACCAGAATCAGAACTAAAACAAGGTCTGAACCAGAACCTGAACCTGATCCATTCCAGTCAACATGTTCTGTGACTAAAGTTCCTTTTCTTTCTCACTCTCAGCATTCTGACCTTCATAGGTTTCCTCCTGTGGAGAAGATTCCATGTTATACAGAATAAACACCCAATTTCTGAGTTTGCGGTGACCTTAAGTATCGAATAAGTGGCCCCTGGACTGTGATGACAACCTACAATATGTACAATATATAAGAGAATTCAGAATGTTCTGTCGAGAGACCCATTCATATTCGATGGATGTATCTGGAGCAAACTTTCCTTTGGGAAACGTTGTATTTAAGTTTAAAAACACCGGAATATTCAAGAAAATCACCAGGATATATTTACATATATGTTTTTACGATAGAGGCAGAAATAATAATAAAAATAATAATAATAAAAAAAATTTCCATCAATGGTCCATCCTCTCCTCACCCCCTTATCCAGCCCCCACCCCCCCTACCTGTATTCACTACTTAATCCTGTTCAGGATCACGGGGTCAACTGAAGCCAGAATGGACGGATGTTTGAGGTCTTACACCACAATATATTTCCTGTAAATGTACAAAAAACAAAAAACAAAACAAACAAAAAAAAAACCGGCACTACACCCATGTCGAGTAAAAAATTCAACACGGTATCAAAGAGGAGCTCCTTCAACTACAGAGAGGAATGATGGGAAGGAGAGCTGCAGAGATTTGTCCTTGTCTTGTTACTACTCTTCCTCCTTTAAAATACTATATATATATATACTAAATATATATATATGTTGCTGGTGTTTTCATAGATAATAACAACTAAACATCAGTAGTTGCCATTTTTCGAGAGATTTGCCGCCAAATCTCTGCTGTTGAAACTGACTGTGATGTTATGGACGATATTTCCTCTTAAGGCTTCAGCACAAAAAACGGTAAAATCAACCATTCAGACTGTGTTTACACGCTCATCAATCACACACTGCATCCGCAGGATGAGAGTCACAAACGAAGAGACGAGGAAGGAGGAGAGAGGAGACGGTCTGCTTCCAGATGTTTGTGAGTGAGCGAGAGAGAGAGAGAGAGAGAGAGAGAGAGAGAGGGGAGAGAGGGAGAAAGGGGAGGAGACAGGGAGAACACAATGTGTATTTCACGCACTGTCCTTTCACCTCCGTTCTCAAACCCTCCTTCGCTCTAGCACAGTTAGGTTAAAAGGACTGGACCGCAGCGCGCCCCCGTCTCCATAGCTTTCTCCGCAGAGAGTCAGAGCCAACTTTGCTTTATTTAAGGATCAAGTATTTTACAAATTAATATTAGTTTTTTGTGCCTTTTTGCTTTAAGCGCAGCCGCCTGTTGTGGATAGTCTAAAGTCGACTGGACCGTGAACTCCCAGTGCGTACAGTAAGCGCACGCATTCAACAAGTGGCTGAACTGAGGAGAAAGAAAAACAAAACAAAACAAAACAAAACAAACAAACAAAAAAAAAAAAAACCCAAAAAAACCCCCAGAAAAACAAACAAGAAAACCCCAAAAACCTGGGACTCAAAAAAAGCCTAAACTGTTGACTCGTTTTCTGCAGTTTATTGCATATTCATCATTCTAGAGACATTTGGCCGACGTTTGGCTTTTCTGGCTTTTCTGTGTTATTGCTGCTTCAGCTCTAAACGCGAGAGCGTGTAGAGACTGTGTGGGTTTTTTTTTTTAAATACTTTTTTGAAAAAAAAAAAAAAAAAACTGCAATAGGATGAGGTTACCTGCCCCTCAAGACACGCTACTAGATCCAGCGAGGTCCTCTGTTTGAACATTTTTTGCATGTTATAGGTGCAGGTGGAAACCAAGAATCGCAAACATGCCGTTGCATCCAGTCACCTCATTGATGTACCGCGGTGTTTCCACCGACCCCGACTTGCCCAGCAATGACGCCCCGCTGAATCTGCCCGAGGATGAACTGGAAGGTGAGTTGACATCCCACTCGTGGGTTTACTTCTACTTGTGTTTCAAAGTGTCCCCCGGTGGGGCATAGATGCTGCTGAGTGTTGTCCGCAATCGGCTCCGTAGCGGCGCAGCTCATTCAAACCGACGCGCGGTCAGCACCATGGACAGCGCTCAGTGACATCAGGGTAATTACGCGCAGCGGGGAAGACGAGGAATTAGTTCGTTTATTATTTTTTTTTTTTAAAAATATGGTTTTGAAAGGTTCCATGTTGGTTTAACATACTGTATTTGATAAGATGGGTTTGCAGAAATACTCAAGAAGAGATTTTGTATTTTTTTACTTGGAAAAACACGTTTGCAGGAGAGGAGAGTGTGAGGGAGAGGGGGACACTGGCATAGAATGTTTTTTAGGCTGTGGCCACCGTCGCCTCCGGCACCACTGGGGAGGTGAAAGCCTCAGGAACCTCCAGGGAAGTGAGCGCCGGAACCACTGGAGACCCTGAATCCACCAGAGGACTGGGGGCCGCTGGCACTCGGCCCACCAGAGGCACAGACCGAACAGGAGCCCCTACCCCCCCTTTAAGGGACGGCTCCTGACGTCCCAACATAGGGGCTGGGAGGGTGGGAAAAACAGGTCCCACAGATGGAGAGGCTGCTGCAGGGAACGCTAAGCCGTGGTCAGGTTGCAGAGCGCTCAACTGTGCCTTCACACTCTCCCATTCTCGCTGCGTGACACCGAAATCCGCCAGGAGAGCCTCCCAGTACGCTGGGTCCAGTCGTGGTTGGATCATTCTGTCGTGTGCGGGCAACGCAGGAAGCAGGCAGGACCCAAATGCAGTACTGGAGAGACTCTTTCTGGTGCAGGAAGTTTTATTTACAAAGTCCAAATTAACAAAACACGAAGAACTAACAGGCATGGAATTCTCGAGGAACACGAGCAAAACACGGAAACACGAGGAAACACAGAGTAGGAAACTCACGAACACGAAGATCTAACACAATCACAATCACATCCAACCCTGACAGAGTGAGGGAGAGGGGTATATATACACAGGGAACACCAGGTGGTGAAGTGAAGCTAATCAACAACAGGTGAGTGTGATCCCAAAGATTACCCCACAAGGACAACAGGAAAACACGGAAACAGAGACATGACAGTGAGACCCTGTGGTCTTGCCTCATTACATTCATTCATTACTCCACTGACACCACACACTGTAGAGACCCAGGCAGCTGAGATGTTGTTAACAGAAGGCAATCAAAATAATGAACTTAGACTCTGCGTCATACGCAGGAAAAGCGAATTCAGGGAAAGA